ACTTAAATTCAATGTATGTCAAACTTATAAGTTTAGGCTTACTTAGATTCAATAAAGGTTGAACCTATGGGTTTAAGTTGACTTAAGTTCAACATAGGCTGAACCTAAGAGTTTGGTTTGAGTTGACTTAGGTTCAATATGGATTGAACCTAATCGATTTAAGTTCAATATAAGTTGAACTTTAAGAGTTTAGGTTTTAACTTAGGTTCAATATGGGTTGAACCTAGGAGTTTATATTTTAACTTAAGTTCAATGTAAGTTGATCCTAAGGGTTTAAGTTCATTTAGGTTCAATATAGGTTGAACCTAAACTTTAAGTTGACTTAAGTTCAATGTAGGTTGAACCTAAGGGTTTAAATTGACTTAGGTTCAATTTAAGTTGAACCTAAGTGTTTAAGTTAAAGGAATAAGCCTAATTTGAGTAAAACTTAATGAATATTTTAAGTCTAATTTAAACTAGGCTTAGTCATTATTTAAGGATTTTTTAAACCCAATGTAGATAAGGTTTAATTAGACTAATTATGTCTAATTTAGGTTAGACCTAATTAGAGTTTATATGTTAATTAAGTCCAATGCGAATAAGGCTTAATTATATTAATTATGTCTAATTTAAGTTAGACCTAATTAGGGTTTTATTTAACTTAAAACTAAAATAATTAAGGTTTAAGGAGATTAATTAGGTCTAATGGGGTTAGACCTATTTATGTTTATCTTAACTTAAACCTATTCTAATTAAGGTTTAAGGAGATTAATTAGGTTTAATAGGGATTAAACCTAATTATGATTTGATTTGACATAAACCAAATGAAAGTAAGGTTTAAAAAGATTAATTAGGTTTAATAGGGGATTGACCTAATTAGAGTTTAATTTAACTTAAACCTAATTTAATTAAGATTTAAGAGGGTTAATTAGGCCTAAGTAGGTTCTAATTTTTCTTAAACCTAATATAATAACGGTTTAAGAAGGTTATTTAGGTCTAATAGGGGGTTGGCCCTAATTAGGGTTTAATTTGTCTTAAACCTAATGTAATTAAGGTTTAAGAAGATTAATTAGGTCAAATAAGGGATTAGACCTAATTAGAGTTTAATTTGTCTTGAACCTAATATAATTAAGAATTAAGAAGGTTGATTAGGTCTAATAAGGGATTAGACCTAATTAGAGTTTAATGTAATTAAGGTTTAATAAGATTAATTAGGTCAAATAGGGGATTAGACCTAATTATAGTTTAATTTGTCTTAAACATAATGTAATTAAGGTTTAAGAAGATTAATTGGGTCTAATAAGGGATTAGACCTAATTAGAGTTTAATTTGTCTTAAACCTAATGAAATTAAAGTTTAATAAAGTTAATTAGGTCTAATAAGGGATTAGACCTAATTAGAGTTTAATTTGTCTTAAACTTAATGTAATTAAGGTTTAAGAAAGTTAATTAGGTTTAATAGGGGATTAGACCTAATTAGTGTTTAATTTGTCCTAAACCTAATGTAATTAAGGTTTAAGAAGTTTAATTAAGTATAATAGGGGATTAGACCTAATTAGAGTATAATTTGTCTTAAACCTAATGCAATTAAGGGTAAAGAAGGTTAGTTAGGTCTAAAAGGAGATTAGACCTAATTAGTGTTTAATTTGTCTTAAACATAATGCAATTAAGGTTTAAGAATGTTAATTAGGTTTAAAAAGGGATTATACCTAATTAGGGTTTAATTTGTCTTAAACCTATTGTAATTAAGGTTTAAGAAGGTTAATTAGGTCTAATAGGGGATTAAACCTAATTAAGGTTTAATTTATCTTATACCTAAAATAACTAAGGTTTAAGAAGGTTAATTAGGACTTATAAGCGATTAGACCTAATTAGAGTTAAATATGTCTTAAACCTAATGTAATTAAGGTTTAAGAAGGTTAATTAGGTCTAATAGGGGATTAAACCTAATTAAGGTTTAATTTATCTTATACCTAAAATAACTAAGGTTTAAGAAGGTTAATTAGGACTTATAAGCGATTAGACCTAATTAGAGTTAAATATGTCTTAAACCTAATGTAATTAAGGTTTAAGAAGATTAAGGTTTAAGAAGGTTAATAAGGTTAATTAGGTCTAATAAGTGATTAGACCTAATTAGGGTTTATTTTGTCTTAAATCTAATATAATTAAGGTTTAAGAAGGTTAATTAGGTCTAATAAGGGACTAGAGCTAATTAGGGTTTAATTTGGTTTAGGTTCATCTGGTTGAACTTAGATATGCAAGTTTGATTTGAACCCAAACCTAATAGTTTTGAAAGGATGACTAAACCTAATGCTGTTTAGGATTTAGTTTTACCCTAGGCACAATGTTGAAATCAGACTTAGGGGATTGGATGAATCATATAGGGTTTAAGACAAAATAAGGGTGAAGAAGATCATCTTAGTGTGTCATGAAGATTTGGGTTTAAAAGGGTTCATTAGGGTTTTATCCTAAATTTTAGGGTTAATGAAACCTTAATGAAATTTAAGGAGTCAATGTTGGTAGACTTCCTTTTCAAAATAACTACGAGTGTCATTCAAAATAGTCTTCACAATAGTGACGTCAACATACCCTACACACTCTTACTCTTTCTGGCTTATTCCTTACTCCTAAAAGATCTTATGAAATCAAAAAAATTACATTTAGATTTAGTCACGAGTTCCATTCTTAGCCATAATTGGGACTTTCTCAACATTAATTGGCCAACCACTCTACCAAATTAATACATCATGAAGCCAATCTAGAGCTTTAAGCCTAACAGCCCCGCATAAGCCTAACAGCCCCGCATAAGCCTACACATATATTGCCTGCTAGAGCTTTAAGCCTAACAGCCCCGCATAAGCCTACATATATATTGCCTACTATTCCTTCATTTTGATCCAACACAATCAACTTACCATTTATGATTTAGCATCATCAGCCCTTAATTAGACGAGCACATGCACCAATATATTTGAATCCTTTACAAATACTCCATGTTTGGTTTGACTTAAGGGTTATTGATTGTGAACTTACATACACACTCCAAAATTATGTTTGTTGTAGTAATTCTAACAAATGTCTCTACTTATTTTGTTTTAGGATTAATGGTACTTATGCTTCAAGCTTGGAGGCTTCATTGAGGATTTTTTTCAAAACCTATTTAAGAAAGAAAAAATTGGGCGTCATCATAAATTCTCTTTTTTCTTCTCAAATTTATAATATTTCTTCTCTATGATTTCATCATTGCCCATAGAATAGTTGGCAAATTGTCTACAATGTTTTTTGTTGTACCCATTAGTTGATATTGAGGACATTTTCTCCTATTTACACTGGAAACCAATATTGGTATGTATTTTAAATTTAAAAATATTTTTCTCATATCAATACACTTTTTTCTCATCTCTCTCATAAAAATAACCATAACATAATGTTTCGTCTTTATCCTTGTGTAAACTCCAATACATGCTTCTCTCTTCAATCTCTTGAGATGATAAAAATTCAACTGTTCATAGTTGAGACAGTAGTCATTGTTCCATTTAACAACCACTTAAATGAACATTTTCTTACAATACTCATATGACATGCATACAAATAAAATATGTGATCTTTTTTTGTTTTCTTACTATATTTTTTGAATAAAAAAAAAATTTGTTTTAATTTGTAGAAGTATAATACCTCTTTTTTATGTTTAATGTTCTTTATACACATATATATCATTTCAATATTTTAATAAAACTAATTTACAAAAGTAGTATTAATATTTATAAGTATTATTAGATAGGATTCTTTTTTATTCTAAATTTAAAAAAAATGATCTACATGTAATTATCTATTTAACATGTGCCTCATAATTTATTCGATAATATTATTTATTTAACATTCGCCCCATAACTGAGTTTCACCAAACACAGGAAGTTTCGCCATCCGAATATCTTGAATTTGACTTAAAATTCGTGGATTGAACCAATTGCCAAAATGTTTTTTTGACTAGCTCAAACCAAAAGCATAATGAACAAATCTACTAACGGATAAATGTTGCTTGAATTGATGTGTTATTTTTTTTTTGTGGGGGCTTGTTTCGTATTGTTTGGGAGCTTTTGTTTTCCTATGTGACCTATTTTTGTGGATTGTTGTTATTTTGATATTCTTCTGATATAAACAATATTACTCTTGTTTATTTTCTTTTTGCTATCAGGTTATCTAACCATGTATTAAAATTCAACCTTATATTTGAATATTCTATATAATATATTAATCATAGTTAGAGGTAATTTTAATTTTTTTCTTTCGGTTAAGTACTGAGCTCTATGGGTTTTACTTTTTGTTTGATTAATTTGTTTGGTTGTTTGTCTTTCTTCTATTTTTGTTTTCTTTTTATAGGTATTTGTGTTGAGGTTTAGTTTTTATTTGATTGTGCTTCCTGGGTTGTTCTTTGTTGTGGATTTTGTTTGTTTTCTTCAGTTAGCATGGAATTTTCTTATTATGATGATCTAAGGCTACAGTTTTTCACTGTTCTATCTCTTTTGTGATTCCTAGATTATATTCGACCTCTATTATTGATGTATATCTTTCTTCTTCAATTTTTTTTTCAACTATTTCTTCTTTGAGCAGTGTAATTTGTGTTTTTTTTGGTCCGTTATATTGAGTTTGCATTCTTTCCTTTTTTGGGTATTAATAGGGTTCCGGGTTATAATTTTTGTTTTTTTTTTGTATTTATTTCGAGTTTTCGAGTTGTGCTCTTTTCTTTCGACTTTAGTTAGGCTTGTCTTTCCTCTTTCCTCAAAACAAAAAAAATAAAAAAAATAAAAAAATAATGAACTATCTAAAAGGCTGGAAGAAGAATACTTCCCAATATGGGGTTGAAAAATTATTCCTAAAATACTAATAATTAATTGAAGTTAAATTTACATTTAACTTGATGATGCTCTAATTAAAGAGCCTGGATGCAATATTTTTTTGAGCAGAAAATTTTACATCCGGACTCCAATTCCGGTCCCCTCCTACGCTGCATACGGTCCGAATATAATATTTTTTAGTGAGTTTGACATCGAACGTCCCTTATTTGTGAATCATATCGCACTTGAGATCGGATCCTCCAGCCCTCCACAATTGAAGCACACCTTTCTTCGCGAGCAGAGCCGGATAGGCTAATTAGAGAGCGCGCAATGGGTGGCAGGGACAGAGACAGAGGTGCATTGAAGTCAGTGCTCGTTGTTGCCGGTGGCCTTGCCCTCGCATGGGTGACGATGGAGACGGCCTTCAAGCCCTGGCTCGATCGTCTACGGTCTGCCATGGCCCGCTCCGATCCCACTGCAGATCCTGACGATGTTGACACCGCCGACACTCCCACTATTGGTGATAAGACAGAGGAAGATGTCGTCAATGTTGAGGAGGAGGTGAAGACGGATAAAGGAATTCAATCGTCTGATTAGACTAACATAAGGTTTCTCCCCTTTCTAGCCTTTGCTTTTTTTAAACTGTTTGTTATCCTATTTTAGGAGGTGTTGAAGCAAATCCAAACAGAAACTTGATAAATCATATTTCAGTTCCGATTATATTGAGAATTTTCTGAATCTAACATTTACAGGAGTTTATGGATGTAAGAAACTTTCCCTATTTAACGGTTGCATGCCAAACATTTTGTAGGTTTTAGACTTTGAAAAGCTTACTTATTCTGACTTTTCAGTTACTGAATCCTACTTGTATCCAAACAGCCCCAAATTGTGTGAACGTTTTATTTGTTCTTGTTATAGTCATTTTAGTCTGTAGCTGTCTGAGAACTGGGAATAGGTCTTGCTTGCAAATGGAGAACTTATGCTTACATTAAGTAAAATTAGTTAGAAAAGGATTTTAATTTATGATGGGGTTGTCGAGTAGATTCAATTATGCGTCAAATAGAGTTACTCAGAAATGATTTGAGCATTATTTATGTATGGAATAGACTTGCCAATCTCAAGCTGAGTTTGTAAAAGGATTTTATTTATCAATTTATGTTGTGTATCGTTGCATTCCCGAAGAGTCACGTCGGTAAAGTGATATTTATTGTCTTAGCGTTGCATGAAGATCTAATATGTACACATTAATAGAAAGTAGCAGGAAAAAATAATAGGGTTTTCTTACTTGGAAGCGTAGCCCAATCAAAATAATCCATCATGTAATTATAAGCACATAAGTCCAATTTTCTCCTGAATTAGATAAGATGGAATTGTAAAGCTGGTAACCCTAGATGTACAACTGTTGCTCAATAGTAATAGCCATAATTGAGTTACAACATATGAAATTTTTTATTCAAATAACAATAGTTGGCCACAAAGACTTTGTTAGAAATGATTACAGTAGTTGTACACAAAGGCTATAGTTAATGACTGCAATAGTGTTAGTTGATCACAAAGGCCATAATAGAAGCTGCAATAGTAACTGACCACATAAGTCGGTAGATACAAGAGCATTAGTAGGCCACACAGGCCATTGTGGGAAGTTGCAGTAGAACTTGATGCATATGTCGTATTTGATAGCTGTAAGAGCGTTTGTGAACTTTAGTGCGGTGTTTTCACAGTAATCGACCACATAGGAAATAGTTGGCAGCTGCAAGAACGACAGTCTGCCACTGAGACTGTAGTGAGAAGCTGCAGTAGAAACTGACTACATAGGCAGTTGTTTGTAGTTGTATTACTGTTATTTGATAATAGAATCAGTAGTGGGAGCTATCATAGTAATTGGTACATAGATTGTAATTAGTGTCTGCAAGTGTGTTGAGTCATTCATAGAGGTCGTAGTGATAAGTTGTCCTATTAATTGACCATATAGGTCATAATTGGTTGTTATAGTAGTAGTTAGCCACATATGTTATATTGGTCACATAAATCATAATTAGTAGCTGCAATAACGTCAATGTTCCATAGAGGTCATTGTAATTGCTGTAGAAGTTAGTCATATAGGTCTTAATTGATCGCATATGTTGTAGTTGATAGTTGTAGTAGTGTCAGTTGGTTACAAAAGCCATAGTTGGAAGTGATCACAAAGGCCATAATAGAAGCTGCAATAGTAATTGACCACATAAGTTGGTAGATACAAGAGCATTAGTCGGCCACACAGGCCATTGTGGGAAGTTGCAGTGGAACTTGATGCATATGTCGTATTTGATAGCTGTAAGAGCGTTTGTCAACTTTAGTGCGGTGTTTTCACAGTAATCGACCACATAGGAAATAGTTGGCAGCTGCAAGAACGATAGTCTGCCACTGAGACTGTAGTGAGAAGCTGCAGTAGAAACTGACTACATAGGCAGTAGTTTGTAGTTGTATTACTGTTATTTGATAATAGAATCAATAGTGGGAGCTATCATAGTAATTGGTACATAGATTGTAATTAGTGTCTGCAAGTGTGTTGAGTCATTCATAGAGGTCGTAGTGATAAGTTGTCCTATTAATTGACCATATAGGTCATAATTGGTTGTTATAGTAGTAGTTAGCCACATATGTTATATTGGTCACATAAATCATAATTAGTAGCTGCAATAACGTCAATGTTCCATAGAGGTCATTGTAATTGCTGTAGAAGTTAGTCATATAGGTCTTAATTGATCGCATTGGTTGTAGTTGATAGTTGTAGTAGTGTCAGTTGGTTACAAAAGCCATAGTTGGAAGTTGCAGTAGAAGTTAGCCACATAGGTCGTTGTTGGTAGCTGCAATAGTTTCAGTTAGCAACAGAGACCTTAATTGGAACTTGGAGTTATAGTTAGCCATCAAGGCCTTCGTTGATCATATGTCATAGTTGGTTACATAGGCTATAGTTGGTAGCTGTAATAGTGCCAATTGATCACAAATGTCATAATTGGAAACAATGGTTGCAAGTAGTCATATAGATCGTATTTGGTAGCTACAATAGTGTTACTTGGCCATAGAAACCTTAGTTGAAAGTTACAGTAACAATTAGCCACATGGGCCATAGTTGGTCATATATGTCATAGTTGGTAACTCCAGTAGTTTTCGTTAGTCATAGAGGCCATTGTTGGAAGCTGCAGTAATATTTGGCCACATATATTGTCATTAGTAGTTGCAGTAGTATTGGTTTGCCATAGAGGTCATAGGTGGAAGCTACATTGGCAATTAGCGATATTTGTTGTATTTGATCACATAGGCCGTAGTTGGTGTTACACAGATTAGTGGCTGCAAGCCTTCTCTTAGGTTTACTATCTTACACCAGAGATAGTATATGTTGGTATACAACGTATAAAAACTCGAGGAGTCCTAAAGAAGTCATCGTATTTTGAATACAGAGGTCGTAATCAATTTTCGTTGGGAGTTATCCTTGAGACTTTAATATGACATTATTCGTTTCATCATATCTGGGATACATTGTTATATCATATTCAGGATATGTCGTTAGCTAGCAGAGTTCATCCACAGTAGAGAGTAGGGGCAATCGACGATCAGTGGTTGGCAGCTACCGAGTCCTAGAGTTATTACCGTATCTTCAGTCCAGAACAACACTGTAATTCGACTCCTTCTCCCCTCTTTAAATGAAGAGGTTTTGGCAGCTACTCCAATTAGTGTGTTTTGGTCATTCGACGAATAATTCCTATAACCACCTGATCAGATTGCCAATATTTACCCTTCTTAATCATAATAATTCCTATAACCACCTGATCAGATTGCCAATATGTAATCATGAGATTTCTTTAACGATTTAAGAATCTTAATGATCTCAGAATCTAGTGATCTTAGGCTTGTTTGATTGCTCTCATTGATACACTCTATTTGACAATATGTATGTCAAATTTGGAGTTTATTTGATCATTCAATTGATGATCTGAAGCCTCCAAGTATGCTTTAATGGTCTGGTTTGGACTTCATTGTATTGAAATTGAATTAATTTTTGTATCATCGGGTTCATCTTGTTGAGACGATCAGTTTGACTATAAATTTGTTGAAATTGTGGCCCTAGATGATATTTAATTTGAATATGGAATGTTTAAAAAATATCTTGAGATTCATGCAAAATGATAAAAGTTTATTGAGGACATATTAAATATAATAAAGCAGTACCATGCGATTATGCGCTACCTTTTGTTCTATGATCATTTTCGAAATGACATGGCTAAAAAAATTTAATAATTATTTGCTTTGTATTCTAACTAATTGATTTAATTTCTTGAACTTATTTTGAGTCTTAAACAAAGGTTTGTTCATGGAATCGCAAGGGCAATTCCAAAATAGTTGCTTAAGGAAAAAAGTTATTACATTAGAAACTTGGTTCTTATAGTTTCTGTTGTATGATAATTTATTGAAGGTACACGCATATAAATAGAGTAGATAAGATATATGAAATTCAAAATACAATGGGCCAATATATATGAGTGTATTAGTATCAATCAAAGCTAAATTATTTCATAATCAAAGTTATTATTACACCCACTTGTAGCCAACTAAATCAACCTACAAATGTGACATCACACGATAATAAATTGTGTAGATTAATGATAAATTTACTAAGCAAGATTTTTGAAGTATTGAGCATAATATTTTTAAATCAACTCAACCATTCAAGAAGTATTATTTTAGCAAACAACAAAGTCAAACAATTGTTTAAATTAAATCGGTAATGATGAATACAATGATCATTTGTTAAATGTGAGAGTAATAAATTACTAAGTCGGATAAGCTGCAGCTGCCCCAAACAGACCCTTAGGGATTTTTTTGAACAATGTAAATTATCTACTCAATAGAAGAAGCAATTAAAAAAATTGAAAATTTTGATTCATAAAATTGGCATTCAATTATAATCAATAAATTAGGTAAATGTATAAATAAAAATTATGTTATAGAGCAATGAACACAGTAGATTATTATATAATTTGATACTTAACTGACCTACATCCACGCCGAAACTCACTTTTTTTAGGGATTTTTTTTTTCAGTTTACCACCACTAACCAAACCTTTATTACTCAACAAAGAGGTGTAGAAACCTTTGAAACTTATATGCTCTTTTTAATTGGCTAGGCAACCTATAAATCAAATAGTAAATAGTGTGATAAAAATATAAAAAAAGAATCTCTTGAATTTTTGTTTTGATTACAAGGTTATCACTAACTTATCCGATACAATCAACTCTATTACAAGTTTCAACTGGGATAGTTTATTTATACATACTTTGAAGTTTTTATTAATAACATAACTTAATATATATAAATCCAAATTATAAATAAAATCATATGCAAACAACTTAATGAATCTAATGGACTAAATATTAAGCCCAAACCATTATATATAACAAGTTAATTCACTTGTCTAAATTATTATATAAACATCATTTTATTTATAAATATTATAGAACGACCTTTTAAAATAAAATATTTCATAAAGATACAGATGAATTAGCTAGCTATCATAAAAATTTTGAATCTATAAAATAATTTATAAAATATAAGCTAATTATTTATAATTAGCATGATTGGCATGTGAAGGATTCATGTTATATTTTTTTTTATCAAATTTTTACTCTGGTTGTCGACTACCCAACGCAACCCCTCCACGTTTCGCATTCAGGACTTGGGACCCGACAATATCTGTTTTAAGCATTAGGAACAACTTTTAAGCACGTATCCTTCTGCTTTAGTTATTGATGGTC